GGGGGGGGGAGTTGACCAAGTCAACAGTCTGTCGAGGGCAAGTTTACAAGTCGGCTACACCAGAGCACCAGTTTTCCTGGGCGTGAAAATGTCTTTCCCAATCGTTACGAGCCTGTCCTGGTTGTCTTGTGGACTAGCCACGTACAATAAGACGAATTCTACAGCGAGAGCATTTACAGCAGGAGCTATTTATCATCATTAGGTTGGTCTCTCGTCAAAATCGTTTTGGCCCGTTATTCAGCTAGACGATCTCAGAAAGCTGAGGTTATTGTGTTATATATTTATATATCGTCGCTGTAGTAGCAAATTCTGCGCCTACCTGTAAGACCAGAGTGACAAATAGGCGGTAGGTTCATCGGACAGACGTTAATCAGACAGACTTTACAGTTGGCAGTGTAACAAGGGCAGACGTTGATTGGGCACTTTGGCTTTTAGGGATGAAAAGTTATTTTCCACTAGGTGCCCAGGCCAGTCTACTGATGCCTATTCCCCCACGACGTTCCATTGTGTCCATAATAAATATCTGACTCAAATAACCATTTCTAAAACAAGTAGAAAAAGTTAGGTACTTAGGAGGCATAATATCATCTAATGACACACGAGAAAAGGTGGATGATTACACATGTAATTTTTGTTTAAACCAACCTGTTTGACAAATAGCAACAATAGTAAAATGATTGAAACGTAAAGATTTATAATTTCTTATGTATTTTGTATTCTGCATTGGCAATGAGCTTTCTTAGTCTTCACAATGACAACAATGGATAATTTAGGATTTGAAAATACTGTGCGCTATTTGAGTACTTCGCCATCGATCAGGAAAAGGGTTCCCAAGTAAGTTTTTCTGATTTAGTGGCGGCTACTACATAGCCACTGTGTAGCTGTAGCACGGCTTATTTTCACTGGATATTATCGATGACAGTAAATACAATGAGCCTGTTTTTTCCCGCCTTGTATTCTTTCTTTATACTAATATCTTTTAGAATCCACGAGCTGAATGACAGTAAACACTTCTTTTCTCATTAAACAAATTACAAAATGTCGATGACGGAACTGCACGTTTCGCATTTCCAGCAACTTCATGTTTTGCTGTTGTGCGCATGCACACATGTCAGAGATGAGAAGCAAACAAAGTGACGAGTCTGTTTTATGAATCTTTTCACAAAAAATAAAACACGATGAATGGATTTCGCTGTTAAATGAGTGGATTAAGCTTGCACTGTAACAATTTAGGATATAATTAATTAGATATTTTTGTTTTGTTTTGTTCAGGATTGTATCGTTAATATGCATATTTTCAATTTCTCTGTTTCGTTTTACATAAGATTAAAACAATAACTACAATATCTAGGAAGCAGCACCCCCATAGCTCTGATCCACCACTGTGCTTCTTTGAATATTACATTTAGAAAGCAAAGGGGTTGACTTCGTTACATAAGCAGTATTCTCTGTCATATCGCTGTCTCTCTGGAGAATGAATGGCCGCCTGCCACTCTCCGTTGGTGCAACAAATTAAAGCATTTGTTATCAGCAGATGTTGTAAGTAAGTAAAGTAAAAGAGAAAAGAACCCTTTTCCACGCCCTTAGGCGTATAGGGCATATTGGGCTGGAACAAGATGGGTGATGTGGTCAGCACCACGCAGGTCGCCTCTACTTCCATCTACTGCACCTGGTACCCACTCAAGGCTGGGTCGACCTGAGAGCCAATGTCATTTTTGAAAAAAGTCCGGCTCCGCCAGGGAGCAAACCCACGACCTTCCAATCTGCGGCGAGCGTCTAGCCGCTCCGCCACGGCGACTCTCGCAGATGTTGTAGGACATAGTATACCTTCACCCCCAGTCTGTATTCTAGATTCCATTTCTTTTCCTAGAGTGTTGTAGCAGGTGAAGTTTGTACTCACATACCTTTAAGTTTCGTTCTTTTTTTTTTTTTTTTTAACATGCGCGCTCAACCACAGGGTACCCCTACTGATTGTTCCTATAAGGAAGTTGTTATAACGTCTTCTATCTTGACCTCAACGGCGGTTAATGGGCTTCACCAGACTTTTTTTTAAAAACAGTTATAATGTCTAAAAGGCACCATAAAACATCTACATTTTCTGTGCTGATGACGGCACGCATCTGTCTCTGTACACAGGTTGGAAACTTTGCTGCTGTTGTCCTTAAATTGTCATTACTCTTGGGTTTCACTCGTGGACATAGCAGATCCTTTGTTGCTCCGCCACAGTAGCTAAGTGTGTGTGTGTGTGTGTGTGTGTGTGTGTGTGCATGCTGCGTTTGTGCGTGCGTGTGTGTGTGTGTCTGTGTCTGTGTGTCTCTCTCTCTCTCTGTGTGTGTGTGTGTGTGCGGGTGTGTGTGTGCGTGCGTGCGTGCGTGCGTGCGCGCGAGCGCAATTTAAATTTTACATTCGTCACCTGAATGATATCCTGATGGTATGCTTTTTAATAGTTCATCTCTAACTAAATCTCTAATTTCACTGTCACTGTGTGCTATAAATGTCTGCATACATGTTTTCTCTTGCTTTTATGTTGTTGTTAATATTATTGTTGTTGTTGTTGTTGTTGTCTATTGTCATTCGCGTAACCTATGTCTCTGTGTATTTTGCCTGTTATGACTGGCGTTTCTTTTTTGTGTGTGCATTTATCTGTGTATGGCAAACTACTGGACGTAAATTTGCCTAGAAAAGCCACACAACGGCCAGGGGCTGTTGGGGTTGGTTCTGCAACGTCCTGTCAAGGATACGCAAATAACCTTATTTATCCGTGTAGTTTCCAGAACATCCCCGGTTATTTAACGCCTACACTTTTTGTTCATTGTAGATGAATTCCAGAAGGAAATTGGACGCATAGCAGGCTGGTATGAAACCTCCGGAGCACAGATTATCCTGTAAAAGCGATTGCAACTATAAAGTAAACATAATCAGCGTCTGGAATAGAAGTGGTAACTCCCTGCTGACCAAGCTGAGGTTTACAGAGTTACAATTCTCCCAGTACTGCTCTATGCTTGCCAAAAGTGGAATTTGTATCGACGTCATGCTAAAATATTGAATCAGTTTCACATAACTTGTTTCAAAAGCTGCTGAAAATCAAATGGCAAATTAGGATCTGAAATACTATGGTTCTTGATAGGGCAAACCTTCACAATGCGGAATAATTATCAGCTGCGTTGGGTTGGTCACCTATCCCGCATGCCAGACTATCGCCTCCCAAAGAGAGTATTTTATGGAGAACAAGGGAAGAGGTCCAGGAAGTACAGAAAAAAAAAAAAACCTCTAAGGGAACTATTGAAACTGCTTTCAGCTCTTTTGGTATCAATATAACAACCTAGGAGGCTGCTGCACAGGACCGTTCTGGATGACGTACATCCCACAGACATGGTGCATCAGCCTGCCAGGCAGTGGAGTTTGCACAAGCAAAGAAACGGAGGCAGACTGGAAAGAACTGTGTCGCTAATCACACGCCCACTGCTGCTTCCACTTGTTGTCCGCACTGCTCAAGAACTTTCTGGGCTTATATTGGACTAATCAGCCACCTCCGTACTCATAATCATTGATCATTACTACTTTGGATAAAAAGGGGTCTACATCACTCGTGATGGATGAACAGTAGTACACAGTAACCACCGCTGTGAATATGAATGGTGAAGAGACAGGAAGAGGTTAACTTTTAAAAAACCTGGGAGTAAGTTTTGATCAGAGCCTTAGCTGCAGATTTTAAGCTGATACTATGATCAATATGACCTAAAAGGATTTGGCTGCACTGAAAGTTATGGTTGCTACGTGTGGTCAGCATAAGCTGCTAGTCATCCTCTATCAGGGGTAGATTCTCCCTGTCATAGAATATGCACTGGGAATCCTAAAATCAGCAAGACACTAATCGACAGACCGGAAAAGGTATAAAATTAAACAATGCGCGTCGTTCTTAGATGCACCAGAGACACGACGTGTAGAACATATAGAGATAGATACTAGATCTTCCAGAAATAAACAGAAGGCTTGAAATGCGCCAAACATGTGCCTACCTCGAAATTACTGAGGTCTTTAACCCACTCACTAACGAGGCCAGTCTTGGTTAGACCGGGCAGAGACTGTACTTCAACGGGTTATTTCCCTTTAAGATATAAACCGTTGACAGGAATGAATGGATACCCATTTCAAATGAATACACTCAGAACTTTGTGGTGGTTATCGTCCTGATAAGAAAATGCCGTGATCTGGCACCACCAATAGTTGTTGCAAAAGTGAAAGCACCAGAAGATGTTAAATATACAGATGGTTCTGTGATTCGTCAGAAGCGAAGTGCATGGGTTTTCAGGGCAAGAACCAAAGCTAAAGTCACCAAAGAAGACAGTGAAGCCTTTGCTTTACCAGCAGCAGCACGACAATGGAGGTCAATGGCTGTGACAAAGACCCTAGAAATTCTGAAAGCTCATGAATAAACCAGTGCATATTTGCTCAGCGACCCAATTAGCATTATGAAGAAGATCAAGGCGGGGTACATACGGGTGCCTACATTTGAAACTTTGTTTCTCAAAATCACCAACATTTTTTTTTGTGTGGTCCCATAAGATGCTGGTGTAAAAGGCAGTGAGACAGTAGAAGCCCTGGCTGGCAGTGCAACTATCAGGAATGGGTCATCATCTACGGACAGGAATGGGCCATCATCTATGGACAGGAATGGGCCATCATTTACGGACAGGAATGGGCCATTATCTATGGACAGGAATGGGCCATCATCTACGGACAGGAATGGGCCATCATCTATGGATAGGAATGGGCCATCATCTATGGATAGGAATGGGCCATCATCTATGGATAGGAATGGGTCATCATCTATGGATAGGAATGGGCCATCATCTATGGATAGGAATGGGCCATCATCTACGGACAGGAATGGGCCATCATCTATGGACAGGAATGGGCCATCATCTATGGACAGGAATGGGCCATCATCTATGGATAGGAATGGGCCATCATCTATGGACAGGAATGGGCCATCATCTATGGACAGGAATGGGCCATCATCTACGGACAGGAATGGGCCATCATCTATGGACAGGAATGGGCCATCATCTATGGACAGGAATGGGCCATCATCTATGGACAGGAATGGGCCATCATCTACGGACAGGAATGGGCCATCATCTATGGATAGGAATGGGCCATCATCTACGGACAGGAATGGGCCATCATCTATGGATAGGAATGGGCCATCATCTATTGACAGGAGAGACATATTAAAAAAAAAAAAAAAAACAATTAACTAGCTTTACGCTTGAAATGTATCAGTTACGAGGATTTGCAAAATCTCACTTTTTTCAGCATTTGTTATATTTTATGTCATTTTTAATGGGTAGTGAGGACGCACAATTCAGGCGTTTCAATGATAATAGTTTTACATTTTAATAACCTACCTGAATAAAAGGTAACCATATATATATATATATGTGTGTCAGTGTGTATACTTTTTTCAAATGACCTAGGCTCCCAGGTCGACCCAGCCTTGAGTGGGTACCAGGTGCAGTCCTAGGAAGTAAAGGCAAGCGGCGTGATGCTGACCACATCACCCATCTTGTGCGCTGGTCTATAAAATAAAGGTCTAGCCCTATACACCCAATACTCCTGAAAGCGTTGGAAAGGGGTCCTTTACTTTATTTATTTTTTAGTATATACATAAATATATAATGCGTCCATTTTGTCTTCCCAATAACTGAATATGCATAGATAAGTTGAATAATTGAAAAACCTTGTTAAATGCTCTCTCTGTTGACAGACATAGCCTGGCCAGTGTTGAGCTCGACAGTTGGGCGGCTAGGGGTTCCAGAAGAGGCTCGGCTCTACCGCCATTTTGTACGTCATTGGTTCCTACTGAAGCCTCATCTCGCACAGAGATATTACAGGCGTAAGTTCTATAAATCTCAAACATTAACATCTATGTTTATGTTATAATATCCGAGTAACAATCAAATGGGTTTCAAATGGTTACAGCCGCTTTCAGTACAAGAAACATTATTACACACTATATTTGTATGAGTCGATCGCGGTATTCATTACTTACATGTTCAAGAGAGCTGCTAAATGTACCTTATGTATTTAAAAGCACGTAAATTTGTTTAGGCATGTTTGTTTAATACCGTTGATTTCCCACGAAGTCGGAGTACATCTGCCTATGAGGCAAGAAACGGCAAAAGCTAGTAAAACGGTTGTACACGCAAAACTCAGGTCCAGGTAAAAGCCACAAGTCCAAGCGGACGATCGACCGGGACCTTCCGCCGGAATTCACAGCCGGTGAGTCAAGAAGAAGAATACCGTTGACTGACTTTCTACCCCACCAGGACATCACACAAGCGATAAACACCCGATGACACAATGTGCCACAACGCGGGTGAGGATCACCGTGGAGAGGTCCCAGAAACCGCGTTCAACCATCAGGCTAAATTGAGGCCCCTGGCAAAGGCCAGGGTAGGGCTTGAACTTAATAGAATACCGTTGATGCACAGACTGAACACAGTACCATTAGGACTTAATGAGGAGGAGGTGTTAATTGCAAATTTCTGATATCGAATGGTACACATTAAAATCTATCCACTCAAAGTAGACTGCCCGTTCTATTTCACGCGCGCGCACATACAGATACACACACATATTAAACACACACACATATATCAGATAGGCACACGTATCAGACACATGGAAACACACACACACACACACACACACACACACATACACGCGGGGCCAAAGATAGGGCCAAGTTTTTTCACGTGGGTGATAAAATAGCTCAGGTTTGTCATTATGTTCGGATTATCTTATCAGAAATTATCTTACCCGCCTCATAAAGGTGTCAGTGGAAAGATGAAAATTTAGAAATTCACCTAACTATTCGACAACAGAAATTTCAGTGATTTATTGTTCACATTTGACTACAGTATGCTTCATCTACGGGAATAACATCTGGTTTTAACATGTCTTATGGAATCCGTTAGGTGTGTACAGAAAAGGTACATGTGTGGTTCTGTTTCTGTTATTTATTACCTTTGTTGTGACTCTGCTTTGTGAAGTGTCTTCCTCGTGTTATAAGTAAGATCAATCTTACTTGCAGTGAAATGAAAGTCGTTCCCATGTGGGATGCAATGTTTTGTTATTTGAAGCCCCACCCTGGCTTCTGCTGGGGGGCCCTGAATATAGCCGGGGCATAGATATGGCCTAGCCATAGATATGGCCTAACGGCTGAATGGGGTTTCTGAGACCTCTCCATGGGTGATCCTCATACGCATGGTGGCACTTTGTGTCACCGGGTGTTTATCGCTTGTGTGATGTTCTGGTGGGGTACAACTACCTACCTACTTCCAGTGGATAATTTATTTTCCTGTTCGTCATCCCGCGACCAACGACCAACAACAGCAATAACAATGAAAATCTATCAAACGGTTTCCCTCTTGGAGTTCTGGCAGACTAGTTTAATAATAATTTTAAAAAATGATTATAATTTACAAGGTGCCATTAAATGTGGTATACGTCTGTAAAAAACGAAAAAAAAAAAACGTTGTTGGTATACAATCTTTGTTTGGAATACGAGCTTGTACTAGATTTTTCGTAAAAGTCAAACCATCAAACATGGTGAGCATCAATTAGGTCAAAGTAGTTAAAATCGAATTCATTAAGTTTAAATCGGAAGGGGACTCTTTTTCCAAACAATAACATCTCCTCATTCCCATCTCTCAGTACCATTCTAGAAAGCACTCGACTCTTCTCCGGAAGGTTTAAAAAAAGGGGGTGGGGGGGAGGGGGGGGGGTTGGTACATTTTCATTTATTTCAAATAATTTTTTGTGTATTTATGTAATTTAGTATTAGAAGAAGAAGAACCCTTTTCCATGCTTACAGGTGTATTGGGCGTATAGGGCTAGACCTATATTTTATAGTCCAATCAGCACTCAGTGGGTGATATGGTCAGCATAATGTCAGTCGCCCCAACCTCTCAGTACTCCATCTAGTACCCATTCAAGGATGAGTAGACCAGGGAGCTAAAGTAATAAACAAAAAAACAAAAAAAGTCTGACTCGTATTTTAACATTAGGCAGTAGATAAAGTATTTTGTGCCACTCCATTAATGCAAAATATGCCAGTAACAATAGGATGTTTTTCAGTGAAACGGATAAACTATTTCCCCCTTATTGGCTATTGGAACATTTGTTTGGTATACCTACTGTTTGTTATACGTCCAGGAAACATGAACGAATAAAGTACGTATTCCGATGTACGACTGTACTTGTTGTAAAGTGCTTACCAGGGATGAGATATCTATACTACTACTTACTAGGATCTCTGATATCCCATCTGAGAACACACTTCGAAGTTTACAAAAGACGGGCAGATCATACTTAGCAAAATAAAACTTGTATTGGCTGTTCCTACATGTGCATCGTCCTGTCTCCTGGTGCTAACAACTCTTATGTTGGATACAAGGCTCTCGACTTTGTCTTAAATATCACTTTTTCTGCGACTACGTACAGCATAGTCTTTTGTCAACAAATGGCTCCTTTTATTCACACTGGTGGTCAGCTTCGGTATTCATGTGTGCACTCTGTTCTTCACGGCTATGCCAGCTTCACTACCCTTTTGCCGTCTATCGGATGGTCAGGTACACTTCAAAGGTAAAGTGCAGCAGGATCGAGGCCTGGGGGTCAAGACCCAGTTAGGCCAACACTCTGAAATAATCTGGGAGGTTATGGACTGAAACAGTTGTCGACGAGGGATCTTCTACTGATGATCGATGGACTCCTGTTGTACATGCTCTTCTGGAGGAGTTCTTCTTATTATTGCTGTTGACTGCTTGGGTGGATTCGACTTTCTAGTTCAAGCACATTTATTCCTTCATTCGCGTTTCTTCCAAGTAAGTAAAAAAGTAAAGATCCCTTTTCACGCCTTTCGGCGCATCGGGCATATGGGCAGAGCGTCCCATATTTTTTACAGACCATCAGCACTCTGTGGGTAATGTGGTCATTACGCCGGTGTCTTTACTCCCAGGACAGTGGTACCATTTTAGGCTGGGTCGACCTGCGACGTCCCATACCACGATAAAAATCCACGCAGCCTGCAGTGGGTTTCGATCGCGGTATGCTGGCTTACGAGTCGGACTCGCAACGCCTTAGCCACGGACGCCGCCATGTTTCTTCCAAGTGCCAGACACGCATGATTCTTGGTTAGCTCACATTTCTAATTACCCATTTCATCCGGCGTATTATCGTAGCATCTTTTGAGTACCATCGGCTCTACAGTAGTCACGCCAAACCTTTTCTAGTTGGTAGCCATCCTAAGTCCCACCTCTTACATAGAATTTATGCTCACTAGATGTTTACCTAACGCGATAACAAATATGTCATTACAGAACTTCTTAGATAGATAATTTTGATGACATAGTAGTTAGGTCTATCAGTAAACCAAAAGTTGAAATAACCCCTTATAAAAAAAACATACGAACCGATACACACATTCATAAATGTAATAACGAATAGTTCCAGAACACAATGTATCTATTGATAACTTCATGTTTTTGTTTTAAAAACCTAAATGTTTCCAAGGTCAGGGTTATTGTTACAATGAAGAAAAACACTGAAAAACATCCTCCACGTGTGGGTTCCTTGGCCCCATTGTGGGGAAAATAAGAATAGATGCACTGCCTTTCCCAAAAGCATGTGGTAGAAGTCACCTAATTTGGGAACTTCCTTCAAAGTCGGAGTGCATCTGCCTGTCGCACACAAATAAGCCAGTAAAACGGATGTACACCGAAAACTCAGGCCCTGGCACAAAGCCAAAGTCCAAATGGACGAACAACAAGGAATTCCACCGGAGCTTGCAGCCGGTGACTGTCTTCAATAAGATGCACAAGTTACTGACAGCTAGAGAGATAAACAACACACTACAAATAAGAATCATCAAATGTTATGAAAACGCAGTCTTGCTATAAGGTGCAGAAACTTAGATAATAAAGCAGCAAGCTTACAGAAAAATGGGTCATTTTTCGCCGAAACTAAAAGTCCAATGCAGAGGTTTGGAAAGGCTACCAGTGAAAAGAGAATTACTTTAACACACACACACACACACACACAAAAGAGATACAAGTAAAATACTTTGGTCACATTAAAAAACATAACACACTTTTAAAAACCATACTGGAGGGAAAGGTCGAAGATAAGAGAGGAAGAGGTGGGCAACGTTAAAATTGGGAGGACAACATCAAGAGAAGGGTGGGAAATAGTCTGAGAGAGTGGACAATCTGGGACTTACCCTATCTGAGATGACCATTTTGGCGAAGTTGCTGTTAAAGGGTGTTCAGACAGGACTTTGCCCTTATTTTCATCAGTCCTTTGATTGGTGAGATCAGAACTCTGAAAATCAGTAATACACCTGTTTTTGGACAGCACCCTTTATACTTGTATGTAGTCGCCACAAGAGTTTCAGGGACTCCATGTCGCTGAAAGCATCACGTTTTTGTTTTCGTATTTTTGATGGAACTGTCAACACTTTTCAGGGTATTTCCTTTTAGAAATATTTATCCGAGGGAAGGATTTGTTTTTGCATGGGAAAATTCTCTTTGACTTAGGCCAAACTCTTGCAACCACTAGTTATGGCCAGTGCCAAAGGCGAAGATGCGAGTATGTTTATATATGTATGTATGTATGTATATATATATATATATATATATATATATATATATATATATATATATATATATATATATGTATATGTAGTTATATAATTGTATTTCAACAGAAGGCAGCACCTGAAGTATATATATATATATATATATATATATATATATATATATATATATTTCAGGTGCTGCCTTCTTGTTGAAATACATTTTTTTTTCCATTTACAGCCCCCATCTTAATACATAGAATTTAATATGTCCTCCTGTCCAGATGTTTGCTTATAAGTAAAATCAGCAAATATCTCTTGACCGTATCTCCAGGACCGTCACAAACCCCAGCATGGCGCCATTGGTTTACAGTCTTCTTAAGAGATTTGCTGCTTAACCTGTGTGTGTGTGTGTGCGCGCGCGCGCTCGTTGTGTGTGTGTGTGTGTAAACTACTTTAAATGTTTACTTCTGTGCAAATAAACTAGCATGGCACGATCAATTTACCGTAAAATCGATATCCTTATATAATTTACATTTTTTTTGGTTTTATTTGCAGAGTTTCCAGCGCCATCATTCACCTTTTCCAGAGAAAACCATTGAAAGAAAATCAGTTAGGCTTGCTACAGGAGCATGTCAGGTTTGTTTCATTGTCTAACTGCAACAAATGTCATTCGCTTCCGCACTCGTTACTTAAACTTAAATCTAGTACAGCTCTGTCATATTTTAACTGTCCATGATCGACACACACACAAAAATACTACGGAATACAGAAGCTCAACTGCTTCGCGTAGAATCAAATGGATAGCCAGTAGAATATCCTGTTGATTCTGTTGATATGCTAGTGTGCATGTAGAGTGACTACTGCCGTGTGATGGCAACTATTGCTGGAAAGTGTGTGTTGCGACACATTTAGTGTGTCGGTTGCAAAGTAAAGGCGTGTTGCCCAAAGGTAAAGCGTTAAAAAAAAATATCTGATGCAACGCCACAGTAATTGGTGCTATTCAAATTGTTTATTATTGTTATGCATGAATTGTAATAGCGACATTATTCTTCCAAATATTATATGTTTTTCACATAAATGAAAGGTTTTCGTGAGAAAGGTTGTTTTGTGAAGCATTCAGTCACTACAATTTATGTTTATCTGTAATCCTTATAAAGGATTATTTAAATATCTGCATTCCCAGGAGACTGAATTACTGTGTCGCCAAATTATCTTTGTCTAAAAGAAAAGTATTTACCAACAAGACAAGCTTGGAAAGCTCTATGAGAGACTTGCCATCCTTTTTTCAGCTGAAATGAGCTGGGGTCCGAAATACATCCAGTGAACAATTGCTACTATAGTCTGTTCAGAAATTCGTGAACGAGTTTGAAAAATACTTTCTCAAAAACTGCCTGTTAGGTCGCAATAAATTTTTTTTTGCATGTAGCCTTTGAAAAACCACGACGCAAAATTACTGCTTTTTGTTTGTTTGTCCATAATGCTCAGGATTTTGGTAATCAGTTAATTCATTAAAGCCTTTGATAGAGTCGACAGGAATATGTTGTGGGAATGTATTAGTAAAAAGGGAATCAGCAATCATCTCATTTATATTTGCAAAAGCCTGTACACACACAGTAAATGCTGCATGAGATCGAAGACAGGATTGTCAAGAACTTTTATAGTGAGCTCTGGTGTGCGTCACGGCTGTGTACTGTCGCCGCTTCTCTTTTTTTTTATTTTTTTTTTAACATACATGGATACCATATGTAGTGAAACGAACTTTAATCATGAAGATATATTACAGAATTACTATTCGCCGACGACCAGGTACTCATAGTAAAAAGTACTTAATGCCTACAGAACCACCTAAGTCAAATAAGTAACAAAGGGGAGGAATATAATATGAAAATAAACACTGCGAAGACCGAGACAATGGTGATAGAAAGACAGCATGAGAATTTAGAAATAAAATTAAAAAACAACACCATAAGAAAAACAAAATGAATTTAAGTATTTGGGAGCTATTTTCACATCCGACGGAAAACTGGACAGAAAAATTAGCTCGAGATGTGCCAAAGCTAATCAAGTAATGGGGCAACTATCTCCCCTATTGACACACAAACAGATATCCCCGAGTACTAAAGTGAATCTTATTAGAACTATTTTTTTGTCAAACTATGCTATCAGTGTCAAACGTGGACACTTACATCCTCCAATGAACGTAACATTGTGACAACAGAGATGAAATGCATTAGCAGAGCTGCAGGAGTCTCAAGGTAAGACAGAATATGAAATCACGAAATCGGACAAATGCTAGGAATAAAGCCAGTCTTACAGGTCATCAAAGAACAACAAATAAAGTGGTTTGGACACCAAACAAGAATTCTCGGGTACTCTCTGCCACAGCGAGCCACACCAAAACGTTACAACGGGTAAAGAGAGCAAGTGGAAGACCTCGGAAAATATGGAGTGATGGCATTAAGAACAACCTTACAGAAATGAATATCAGTCTTAATACCGATCTTGACAGAGCTCATCAACGCATGTTACCCCCCCCCCCCCCCCCCCCCCCCCCATTTTCCCCCGACACTTTGCTAAGATACAAGGTGTTATTGAAGAAAAAGAAGAGGGAAAAGAAATTAATTCCTTTGAACTTTTCAAACCACTGTAAACAAGTAGAATACAATTTAAGATTTTCAGTAACATGTTAATTTCAAGTTCAGTTTTGGTTTTCAGAGGCGTATCTTCATAACGCATTGAGGGGTTAGGTAAATTTATTTGTTGTCATTGATGTTCAATCGGAAACATGTCGCAGATATGTAACAGTTAGTGTTTGTCAGCATCGAACCCCAGGGTGTATCTTAACTGTACCGCAAATTATATAATGGTAGACACATTTGGATATGGAGGTGTATTTGTTGCCATTGTAGATATTCCTAATAGATTGAATAATATTCACCACTAATCAAGTAAACAATAATAACAAAAATATTTGTATTCGTTCCGAATCTGACGATTCCAAGAAGATGATAACTGTTACTTCTTGTGATCCATCTCGGTGCCAGTACTTGTCTTTTTTCCGGAGCACATATTCGACAAACTGTTTGTTGTGGGGTTTTTTTTTGGGGGGGGGGATGGGCGGGGGAAGGGTTTTTGGGGGGGGGGGGGGGTTCACGTGTCAGAACTTCAGCATCACACATTTTTAATTTTCTATCTTTTCGACAACTTTCCTTTGAATTTAGCCCAAAGAATCTATCTGGTTGAGGTATCAATGATATGCAGGGTGTCGCAGAGAAGTGTGGCCGGATTAATTAATTTGTGATTTTGTCAGTAAGATAACCTTTATCTTATTTGTTTTCCTCACAAGCTGCAAACAATTTTCCCTTCAAATATGTGTTGTGCCTGACTGGACTTTTTTACTAGCAAATTTCCTAATGTAATCTTTTGTATTTTATGACGTTGGTAATTTGTCTTCCTCTCATACTGCATTATGATAGGGAGCATTATCCATTACTGTGTTAATCTATCCAGAATTGAAAGAAGATCATTCTCCATCCATTGGCTGAAAATGTGCCCATTCATTCATGTGTCGTAGTCCTCAGTACTTTTTTGTTTTTAAAGTAAGTCCAGAATAATGTAAAAGACCTTTTTCACTGCTTCCTGCATAAGTAAGTATACTGCGTTAGCCTTTTCGGCTTATACGTTTTCTCTTCTGTTCATCATTTACTGACTGGTATTCTTGGGTATAGGTATGGTAAACATTGACCCATGTTTCTTCCATATATACAGTATCATAGCCTTGATTCCGTCACTCACGGATCTCCCTCTAGTGTTTGCTTCGACCAGCAACTAAATGTGGCTTTTCACGAATAATATTCCTTACACCTAAAGTTTTCATGAAAGTGAACCTGAGGCCCTTACAATTTCCTACAGAGTACTTTAAAAAATTTTAATACTGCATTATGATTTCAAAATTAATATCAGTTTTCGATGAGTAAGAAGTTGTTTTGTGTCCAGCATTTTCAAGACCTGCCGCTTTCATACTGCTATTCGGATGTATATTTTTCAGCAAAGCGGCATGCAGTTTGTTATCTCTGAACATTTTATCGCCTACGTCAAATATAACTCTCTGTCTAGTTGTGGAATGGTTTTGCTGAATGAGTTTCTAAATTTCCTGACGTTGTCGTTTTGTTTCTCTAACCCCACCCCACCCCCCACCAAACCTTTTTATTTTTTGTTAAAGATTTACTCTCTTATATCTTGTAACTTAGTTCCATAAATGTGTCATCCGATGCTGCTATATAAGGCTGGACAAACTGTCATGTTTTCCACAGAAGATAGAGTCAACAGCAATAGATATGTAAATGCTAGTCACAAGACTGCTACTGAAGTGAACGCATTTTTAAAACAAAACTAATGCTTGTTTTAAAAAGAATAAAAATACATTTGTTCTATGCTATTCTGGAGCCGAGAGTAAAAGCCAGTTATTATTATATTTTCGTTGTAGATTTCTTATTGGCTCAGAAGCTGGTGGCCTAGTTCATGAATATTACAAAGTAAGTAGTATCCTGTGCGTGATCAAATCAATGTTTACAATCACGCATACACGTTCACAGAAAGATGCATACACGCGTTTTCTCTCTCTCTCTCTCTCTCTCTCTCTCTCTCTCTATCTATCTATCTCTCTCTCTCTCACTCTCTCTCTCTCTCACTCACACACCCACCCACATTCCTCCTCCCCAAACACACACACATACGCAATCACTGCTGATACCCAACATTCTCTGCACATTAGTATCGAGAGAGAGAGAGAAGAAAACAAAGTGGAGTAGGTTAAGAGAAATGAAAGAAATCTTGCATGAGTGTGAATATTTGTACATACAGGTTACACTTGAGTTGACATATCTGGAACAACATTCCCAGATGATGGGAAATGGGCTGAATAAATTAACATCAGATGCAGAAAATCAAATCGAGTATTGGGTCAGCTAGTTTTTTTTTTCTTTTTTTTTTTCTTAATTTGAAATAAAAATAAAAAACTGCACCTCAAGAGAGACAGAGGAGTTTGTTTGGGAGCAATTTTCACATCCGACGGAAAACTGGACAGAAAAATTAGCTCGAGATGTGACAAAGCTAATCAAGTAATGGGGCAACTATCTCCCCTGTTGACACACAAGCAGATACCCCGGAGTACTAAAGTGAATCTTATCAGAACTATCTTTTGGCCAAAACTATGCTATGAGTGCCAAACGTGGACACTTACATCTTCCAATAAACGTAAAATTGTGACAACAGAGATGAAATGCCTTAGAAGAGCTGCAGGAGTTTCAAGGAAAGACAGAATACGAAATCACGAAATCAGACGAGTGCTAGGAATAAAGCCAGTCTTACAAGTCATGAAAGAATAACATATGAAGTGTTTTGGATACCTAAAAAATGCTTTGGTACTATCTGCCACAGCGAGCCACACTTAAACGTTAAAACGGGTATAGAGCGAGTGGAAGACCTCGGAAACGATAGAGTGATGGTATCAAGAACAACCTTACAGAAATGAACATCAGCCTTAATAGTGCTATTGACAGAGCTCATCAACGAATGTTACGTCTCCTAACCGACACTTCGCTGAGGTACAAGGTCAAGGATAAGAAATAGTAGTAGTAGAAGAAGAAGAAGAAGAAGAAGAAGAAGAAGAAGAAGAAGAAGAAGAAGAAGAAGAAGAAGAAGAAGAAGAAGAAGAAGAAGAAGAAAAAAAGAAGAAGAAGAAGAAGAAGAAGAAGAAGAAGCAAAAAAGAAAAGAAGATAGAAGAAGAAGAAGTGACATACCTGGTCACTCCACAGCAACACAAACATAAAAGAAGAAGACTGAAGAAGAAGAAGAAGAAGAAAGTAGAAGAAGAAGAAGAAGAAGAAGAAGTAGAAGAAGAAGAAGAAGAAGAAGAAGAAGAAGAAGAAGAAGAAGAAGATACAAAGAAGAAGAAGAAGAAGAGCCCAAGGTCGACTAGAAAAAGAAGAGGAGGAGGAGGAGGAGGAAGAAAAAGAAGAGGAGGAGAAAGAAGAAGAAGAAAAAAAAGAAGAAGAAGAAGAAGTCTTCCTCTTAAAGAATAGGACAATCCCCCTCGGCACAACAAAGCATCTCATACAAAGCATATTCATGATTACACAATACTACCGGTGACATACCTGGTCACTCACAGCAACACATACAAGAAAGTAGCAACTACTGAAGAAGATGTCCGAGAAGGGCTGCAGGAGAAGAGGTAAAATCAGACGTGAGGTCATAATGAAACAATTCGGCACTTTACAAATTCGAAATTACATAAAAAGGCAGTAAGTAAATCAATTGCTTTGCCCACCTGGAGAGAATGCCTTGTGACGCCAGACCATACAGGGCATACACTGAAAGAGGGGAATGATTTAGAGCCCAAGGTCGACTAGGAACAAGAACAGCAAGATGTGTCTGTGGTTGAGGGAACCAGAAGAGCAAGAGGTATAACCTTATATCTGCCGACACCTCAAGCGGTAAAACATGAAATAAAGAAGGTCCTACTGAACGTAAGATTCAGACCAGAAAGAAAATACAGAGGAAGAAGTTCGGATCTTAATACTTGTTAATTCTTCTGAGGGGGGATTTATATAAACCAATCTGTTGTTCGACACTTGCGAAGCTCGTAGTCCTCAACGGTTTAGGTCAGAGCAATGATGATAAAGTAAGACTGTGGTGCCTTTGGCTTGACTATTTGTAGTCTAAGAAGGGCAAGACAGTAACTGAAGCAATACTCTGGTTAAAGACACAGACCTTATTTAGGGATTCTTTCTCAAAGGTTCATAAAGACCGACATGCCACTGGTTCGAAAACAATAGTTAGAGTTTCGGGAGGTCACGGTTCGCAAGAATTGATTTTATTATTATGCCCCGATATTTAATAATAGGAGAAAATGAAGAAGTTGACAAGCTGGCAGGTCACGCTTTTGTGGACTGCACACACACACACAAACACACACACACACAACACACACACACTCGCAGCAGACCAGGTTAACGTTGTAAATAATGTCAGAGAGCCATGGCATGCACATGATTCATGATATGACTATGTCTCGATAACCTTTAGCAGACCACAAGAACTAGTAGAGATCCCTGCAGTGGCGCATAGTGCCTATCTTCTTCTTCTTCTGCCATTCTAACCCCCAGTTGAGCACAGGCCCTCAACAAACTTACGCCAAGTTGTTCTATCCTTCGCTATCGCATGCAGCTCTCCCCATGTCCCTATCTTTTAAACTTCACTATCTAGCTCCGTTCTCCATGTAATTTTTAGTCTTCCTTTTTTCTTTGCCCCTGTGGGTTTCAGTGCAAAGACATTCAAATTATAATGTTCTCAGGTTTTCTCATCATGTGTCCTGCCCAAAGCCAGCGTCTTTTCTTCATCTCTTGGTCCACTAGATCTTGTTTAGTTCTCCCCCAAAGCTCTACATTAGTGATTCTACGATACCCTTTATTCTGTGCAGGCACCAGTTAATGAAAGTTTGTAGTTTATTAATAACTGCTTTAGTTGCTGCATTGGGCTTATGAAGTTTGAATAATATTTTATAGACAAACACGGGACCCCGTGGTGACGTTTTTAACATCACACAGATCGCCTTTACTTTCCAGGACTTTACCTGGTACCACTGTTAGGCTGGGTCGATTTGAGAGATAGTATTATTTTAAAAAGCATCTAACTGAATACGGATGCTAACCAAAGATTTTTGGGCCGGGGGCGAGCGTCAATTGTATTGTGTTGTTTTATGACATGAACGATGACAGTCTGGAAAGTCAGTATTATGCTTATCTGTGAGTGGATAAATAAAGCCTGTCAACCGCTGCTAAAAACATTCAAACACACAAAAATACACACACACACACTAACACACACACACAGGTATGTAGAGGCAGAGTTGCCTTAACAAGAACAACAAAAAAACGATATTTATTTAGACAAAAGCAAATAATCGAGGAAAAAATGTGGTGTCTGTAATATCCCGCTTATGTCGCTGTCGCAATATATTGTTAAAAGAATAATCATCGCTCATAATATATATGACAAAGCATGATTTTACAGATTCAGAAATTGGAAGGTTATAAATTGAAATAATACCCTTCCCCTCCCTTCCCTAGGCTTGATATATTTGAATGAACACTTGTTTTAAAATGTCTCATAGGACCAGCTCTTGAGAAAAGGAATGATTATCTTGCGAGAAAAAATCAAGAATGAACAAGGTTAGTGATATCTATTTTTACTGCTCTGTTTCATTTAAACTACATACTATGGCTTTCACTGTATGGGTATTCTGACGTTTTTTCTGTAGTGGCTTTCTGCCAACTCGTACCCTGCCTCCAATGGTGTATCCTTGAGCTGCTTCTAAGCCATTCCAATTCTCTGTTTCTAATTTTTATCTTTGCGTGTCTGAAATTTGTTTTCTACCAACCACTATGCAAAACACACCACGTTACGTCATCACAATTATGTTATGCTCATTATAGGTCACATATAGCTCTCAGTTGATTCCTCCATTCCCATCTAAAGCATGCAATCCATTTTATGTGTTGGATGGAATCCTGTCTGGCACTTTGCCTGATCAGCCGTTCGTCGCGGAGTTTTTATTTCTATGCCGTTGCTTCCTCAAACCATTTGTTTCCCATTAAAGTGCCTGTCTGGTGAAATTCTGTCAGTTTCTCCACAGGATGTTCCCAGTATACTGTCAGGACTCTGAAGTGATGCTTGCCACTCTGCACGGAGCATGCCTGTCTCCACCTTTCTCAGCAAGCTCTGTGAGTCCGTTACAATGACGACATGTGTTTACAGCTGATTCTCAAGCCAATGGAAGGCAGCAGTTACTGCCTCCACCTCCATTCTCAAACTAGACGTTGTGATATCATACGCCAATCTGTGACATTTTCAAACGACTGGTTGTCGATTTTAGAAAGTGGTTGATGCGCTGCCTTCACTGTGGAGACCATTTTAGTTTTTTTTTTTTTTTTAACATTCAGAATAGATTCTCTCCTTCATTCCGCTTTTTGACGGTAAAAAAAATTTTTTTTTTAAGCTTTGTACATTGTTGGAAAGAAGAGCTGTATAGTCTGTATATCTGAGTTCTGAGAAAAGCATGCTTCCATTTTTGAGTTGATAGAAGCTGTTACAGGTCTCTTCACAAATTGCATTTCTCCTATTTTCAGCATATATATTTTAAAAAAAAGGATGGAGAGAGAATGCAGCCTTGTCTTATTCCTCTTTGTATCTGAAACCAGCCTTATGTTTCACGTGCTACTTTGACTGCTGTATTTTGTTCACGGTAAAGATATTTCACTAGGTGTACCACATGTGTTGGAAATCTCATGCATCTGAGAATGTGCGACAGTTTTTGGAGTTGAATACAGTCAAAACCTTTACGGTAATCTATCACAGATTGTTACACTCTGATTACTAGATGCCGTGCATTGTGTTTGTTTATGAGTGTGTTGTGGGGGGGGGGGGGGGGGGTAGAACAGCAACATAAATCCCGCTTTAGTAAGGTGTATTTTATGCCTGCATATTTTCAGAGGTTTCAATAGAATGGTGAAATCAAGGATATGGGGCTAGATTCGTGTACTTCAAAGATAGAAATCAATGACAAGAGAAAGTTGAGCGATTTTTAGGCGTATCAGGTTGTCGGGGTGGTGATGGGATATTGGTCTGTTGTGTTTCACAACCGGGCAGTAAGAAAGTGAGTAGTAAGTAAAGGATCATTTCGCACACTTTCAGGCCTATTGGGCATATAGGGTTAGATCTATATTTTATAGACTGATCGGCACTTGGTGGGTAATGTAATCAATCTCACGAGGGTCGCCTTTACTTCCCATGACTACACCTGGTACCCATTAAGGGCTGGGTAGATCTGGGAGGCAAAGTCATTTTTACCAACCGGGTAGCGGTTAATTACTCATTATATTTTATAAAGTCTGTTAAGTTAGACCTTGTTAGTTTGTTAAAAGTATGGTACTCCTGCTTGTTAGCAGGAGAGGAACTGCCAACTTGTTATTTCATTATTTCATACTTATTAGTCATTCGTAGGTAATTTGATTTTTACCACTGAATGACCAACGTATGCCGAAGTATTGAATGCAGTTTGTTGTTCCCTATTGTTATTGTTTGCCGGTGATGTGTAGAATCGCACACATAGTATGTCTGTGTGTAATGGTGGATTTAGCAGTGAGACAGTTCTATCCTTCATACATTCTTCTTCTAGCAACAAGATATACTCCAACATTCATGTGTATTTTTTTTCTTTACAGGTCTAGAGCTGCTGAAGCAGTTGAACGAAACATGGCAGTATTTTTTCAAAGAAATACTTCCAGCTTTGCAGGCTATACTTTACCCTTTAGCAGGACTGTTGGTATGTGCTATTTATCACTTTCAGTATTAGTATATACATTTGGGATCTAGCCTCTGTTGTTTGCCTTTATATGTTGTATTTGGGACAGTCTTGGAGAACTTGATCTGTTATCTCAGGTGCTAATTAATCCACATGTACACATGGCAGATTCACAAATTCTAAGTGCATTAGTTAGTTAGTTGGATTATCATTATTGCACTCCGGACATGTCCATGGGTGCTCAGACCCCCAGCGTCCAGTAGATAATAGTACCAGTTCTATGCTGATTAACAAGTCTTCTGATGTGGCTAGTGTGCGTCTCGTTTTTGCTATTCCGATCTTAACTCCCAAATCTATCATTCTGGCGAATAATGTGAGTTTACTGCTTCCAAAGTCTTCCACGTCTTCCCATTACTCGTAGGACATTAATAGTATCATCACGATCCATAGGTACAATGTAGTACATGCATGTGAGTTCAGATGGAAACAATTTTGTGTACATGTGGTTGCGAAGTCGCTTGTGTCCTGTTTTAAGGTGTAGAATAATGACTCGCTCTGGTCTGTCCATTAATTACACGGTAATCGTCTTCTGCTGGTTCTGGTGGCTTTCTGATTGATTTGATTATTTTCTTCTTCTGTTGATAAGAGATTAGTACGTCAGGTTGTTCTTCATTTGCATCTTCCTTAGCTAGTTTATCAGCTCTTTTATTTCCGGAAACTCCACAGTTAGATGATGTCCATTGTATAGCTGCCTTACATGTTATTCTTTTACTCAAAACAAGTAGCTTAGTCACTTAGTACTGTTTAATCGCATTTCAACAAATTACATCAATTGTTACATTGAGGTGCACACATTGATTACATTCTAATGGCTTTAGCATAAAAGTATTTGTTTTATGCTTCCCATTATATACTAGATTTTACCGCACATACCTATCCTGCCACACATCTAGTCACATCAACTAAAATTACAGACAAACCCGGAAAATGGAAATGGCTAAATCGCCTCACTTTGAAAAACAAAGGCAGTAAAGAGTCACAATACAGAAGCATTTTTTTTTTTTTTTGAGTGGTATGGTGGAACTATTGTAGAAAGTTCTAGATGAAAGATACGACCTTTAAGGAACACCACATAGATGGAGACAGTGAGGGATAATGAACATCAAGTGTTTCTCGTCTAATGAATTTAGGTGTCTATAACAGTTGCCAATGTACAGTAATAACAAACGCAGGACACCAAGAGTTGTTCACTATAAAATATTGATTACAACAGGACTGTGTCCTCTCGGTGAGCTGGGCGTCACACCCATGCTGTAACTCACGTGCAGCAAAGCTTTAACTGTGGTTAACTGGCAAAAGGCAAGCTATGTCTTTTGCAGTCCCAATGATTTGGAGAGAGCCCATTGATCATCTCAACGGCTGCTAATTTTGTATAGTCTCTACAACTAGGAAAGACATATTAAAGAAGAAGAAATGGACTCTAACGTCCCCTCTGCAAAATGCCCGGTACCACATGGTGATGACCTACCAGTACCCAAAGTACCAGAATTATTAGCAACTGCTTCCAGTGATGAAGAAGAGGACGTTGGTAGTCTTGAACCACCAACCTCAAGCAACCCAGATTTTGAGCAAACTACGTCCACTAAACGACACTTGATGTTTTTTGGTATTATAAGAATGTGTCTGTTATATTTTATTTCAAAAGCTCCGAATTTGTCTTTCAAAGACTGAGTGAGAGTCCCTGGCTAACATCCATAAGTTGCAACGGAAAAGATGCGTGATCTCAGAATATTTATTGTAACTGGTGTGCAGGTGCGGTGTCATAGGTTCTTCATGTTGTTTAATTTCAGTATTACTAAAGCAAAACTGTTGTCTGTTTAAGCTTATATTACTGAATGTATATTATTGTTTTAGCTTTACTTTTGTTCCCTTTATTTTAGGGGAAAGATGAAACTGTACGTTCCTTGTCATTGCTTGCCTTCAGAAACATAGTTGTTCTCAAAGTTAGCTTGAAAGGTATGTATGCTACTATTAGCACACACAAAAAATGTGCGTTATATTTGATATAAATTCGGTTGATTAACGTTGAATAGTTTTTATTCTAATAAACATGCATTTTAGCTTCACAAGTACAAAGCATTTTTATAACTTATTATGGTTCTTTTATACCCCCAGAGGCCTTAGATTGTGTGGAGAAGCATTTATATCCATCCAACATACAGCAAATGCTGCTGGTTTTACAGGTAATATATTATAGATAAATTACCCTTATCGCTTTTAAGACGCGTCTGATTGTTTGAAAACGGTTTACAAAGAACGTATGAATGAGCATAGATCAGCTAGTGACCAAGTGTGAATTTTATATCAATCAGTGGATCAATCAATCATGTCGTTTAAAGAACGTCGCAGTCTTCAGGGCACGCCTGAAAACCTTTCTTAATGTATAAAAAAAAGGTATGTTGCGTATCCTTTACAGGACGTTGCAGAACCAACCCCATCAGCCCCTGGCTGTTGTGTGGTTTCACTAGGCAAATTAACGTTCAGTAGTTTGCCATGCTTTCTGGATCTTAATGTATGCTATGTCATAGTGAATGTATTTGTGTATGCAGTGGTTAATAATTGTACATGATTGTTTACATTGTGAGTTCTTATCATAGTTGTTGAAACAGAAATTAAGAAGTTCACATATACACAACAGTATGGTGTCTACACAGCCATGTCAATAGAGTGGGTAACATTTAGTAAGAAAAGTGTGAATGAAGATCCATTAAATATTGCATTATCATAAGTTCATGAAACACATTTATGTTCAATGGGAAGGAGAAAGACTTATGTTGAGCTGAGTTGATTCAAAAAACCGATATCACAGCACTCGGGAATTTCCCATAAGCGCTTCGTCCCCATCTTCAGCAGCCAGTGTTTAGTTTCGATAATAATGGGGCCAGAAGCATTCTGATTAAACGTCCGTCTGGCTTTTCCTCTGAGCCTCGAGCATCTGCCAGAACCCCTCGTCACTCCCCGCTGCATCAGTCACACCAGACTGTGGCGATCCATCTGCTCCACTGAAAAGTACACGCTCTCCAACACGGTATCAACCACGTCTGCCCTATCATGCATCAGTATTCCACTAAGTTGTGCAGTACCAGCCAGTCTATCCGCCTGTTCATTTCCCAACACACCGGTGTGTTCCGGAGAAAAAATCCAGACAATTCTTCTCACTCGTGTCCTTTGCATTGATGTATGCCAGTCCTCACGAAGCCTGGCTGTCTTGATCTTCCTCAGCATGCTTTCTGAGTCAGTTACAATCACGATGTGTGTTTGTGTGTGTGTCGTGTTCTCTAGCTAGGGGAAAGCTACAGTGACCGCCACCACCTCCATTCTTAAGCTGGATGTTGTGGTATCATATGCTAGGCTCTCCTACACCACAAAGCGACCATTAACCTTTGCTAAGAAACTCCAAGCACTTCTTTTGCCTCTTGACACCAAACTGTCTGTGTAAATAGTCAAATCCTCTGAACGAGCATTATCTTGAATTAATTGCTGAATTTCCACCTCCGTAGCACCTACTGTCCAGTCTCTGCATTCCCGGCTGAATGGGATTATGACCCTACACAAGTCTGACCGTCCAGATGGCACTTTGACCAACTCTCCTCGCTTAATGTTCTCAAGGATGCAAACCTGTCTGATTGTGTCTTCTTCCTGAGCCATCCATGACTTCCCTCTTATCAGCCGCTGACCCTTAACTGCGCCCAGAGCTTCGTGTAAAGGGTGGTCTGTGTTTCCTGCCACCTTGAGATATAATTTCGCCTGCAGCACCTTGCGTTTGCCTGCAACAGTCGGCAAACAAAGGATATATAGCAAACACGCCACTGGGGTGTCTCTGGTGCAACCCAGAATGACCCGCATAGCTGCGTTCTGCGTGCGCTATAGTTTGTCCATCTGATTCTTTGAGAAGGTAAGCAGTCCCAGGCTATATTCAACCACTGACAGGATCAGGTGCTGATATGGTGTGACAAGCCTTCTCTGCTCTGTGTCAATTGCAGCCATAGTCTTAAGTGCACTAATGCCTTTTTGGCATCTTGTCACAACACTCTTCCTATGGTCCTTAAAGAACAGGCTCTTGTCAAATGTAATTCCCAGATACTTCAGTTTGCTCTCTCTGTTGATGTTTCAACCATCTATCGTGAGACTTGGGACATTAGCTCTAACAATCCTGTTGTATAGAGAACAAAATAAAACAGACGCCTTTGCCAGGTGGACGACAGCCCTCATTTCTGTACACCACTCAGTCACTTTGTCTACTGTCGCTTGTAGCTCACGGGCTGTTTGTTCCCTCTGTTTCCCTTGCCTATATGCAAGTATATCATCTGCAAAAGTCATTATACTTCAAACTCCTGGTGCTCGTATACCCGTTATAAAGCACAGGCCAGATGGCGGATCACTGTGGCAGACCTAGGGCCAAACTGCATGGTTCTGAGGTCCATGAGCCCAGTCTAAAGACAGGACAGCTGCAGCCAAATTCATCAGCTATTCACTGGCCTCCTTCTCCTTCAGTGCAGTCATCAAGATGTCATATCTTACTCTGTTATAAGCATCTTCGAGATCCAGTGCTGCTGCCATAGTTTCCTGTCTGTTCTAGAACCCTTCATAGACGTAAAAAACAAAATTGGCCGCATTTGCCTGTGTCCTTGCCTGGTACGTAGCTTCCCAGAGCTCTTAAGAGAAGCTTTCCCCTTTCCAGCAACTATCTTCTCCAAGACCTTCCCAAATTTGTTTTGTAAGGTGATGATTCTAAAGCCACTGAGCTTTGAATTATCCTCAAAAGGTTTTAGCAGTGGGATTGGATAGCTGTGCACCCAGTCCTGCGGTACTGATGCTGTCTTAATGCTCTGGTTAAAGCAGTCGGCTATCTCTGCCAGGTCTACATCTGTCAAAGCCTTCATGTGGCCATACCTGACCCCATCAGGCCCTGATGCAGTGTCTTTTGCCTTTTTTCAAAATTTTTTTGATATCTTTTACTCGTATAATGTTTTCATATTGCAAATTCTTTAAGGCGCCAGCTAACTCCTCTCTAATTGCATCACTGATGTCTACATCATAATTATCTGTCTGAGCTATAAACCTATGGAGAAAGACTTATAACAAAAAGGATGTGTAGCTGATGTAATTACAGAAAACAACCTTTTTGTCAGTACTCAATGTATAAAGAGAGCATTAGGACACTAATCAGATCGACGATGAAAGTAGAAATAGTATATATATATGTGTATAGATTTCTATAGTCTTAGTAGAGGTTTCAACATCACCGCAATCTGGTGTTCCCATTCTTGCTCCGTTCCTGTGCCTGTCTAAATCAAATGCAATTTTCCTTACTGCTCCATTTGAAACACTAGTGAACAAACAATTAATCCCGGCACAATCCATAAATATGCTGATTGTTCCCATGAGACTGTTCCCAGCAGTAAATGCATACTAGAGACACCAAAGCCAAAAGTTGCTACCAGAAATAGTTTGTCGTTATTGTTAGTAGTCGGGCATAATGAATTGACTATACACATGTAGAATTATTACATAAGGTATTTCACCGTTTCACACGTAAACCGGCAACGCGCCATATTAAATACCACGACACAACCGCTGCAAAACTGAAAGGGTCCCATGTAGTCATTTCATAGAGCATATTTGTGTATGTGTACTGTATTGTTCTTTATGTGCTGATGAAGGCTAATCGCCGCAACGTCCTTTGTTCGTTTATTGTGATCGATTTTGTAATGCTAACATAAACTGTTTGTTGTTTCTTGCCAGCTTTTTTTCTTCCCTATAATTTTCTACTCCTTTTAAAAACTGACAGGGCTGCACCAAGCAATTAAAGTCAGTAGGTGGAGTTCCGTAAACAGACAAGATGGCGGTACACCTTTTTCGTCCGTTAGGACGAAGCGCGTTTTCGACGCTAGTTATGTGTTTAATGAATATTCGGACCGTGCTACGAAGTACGTGCACGAGTACCCAGTCTCCTATCGGCGTTTCATTAACGTCCAGGGGTGAAATTTCATTCATGGAAACCCAACGACGGGCGACAAGAACAAAAGACCGGCTAGTGCCGACCGGAAATGTTTACGAGAATGGGGAGTAAATATGGACACAGCCAAGCATGAGAAGCGCACGGGACGAAGTCTTGTATACCAGCATAGGCCTGGCACTATTAACGCTGATGAAAATGTTGAGAGGGGAATCTGAGCACCTATGCTGGGAAGATAATCCAACTCATAATTCATACTCAAACTCAGTTGCTCGGGCAGCGAAACCGTAAACTACTGTCCATGTGTAAAAACTGCATTAGCAAAACGCTGTCGGAAGCAAAAGTAACTTTGAAGCTAAACATTCTGCCATGCCTAATCCTCAACTTTAGACTGGAAGTCTCCACTGTTTTATCTTCTGTGAAACTGTCACAAACGCCTAGTTCACCGATGTATTAAAACTAGATTATTATAATTCAAGTGATAGGAAATTTTGAGTTTTACAACACTCCTTAATTATTATGTTCTGGCCATTCAAGACCCATAATCTTGATAAAATAATCCTCTCTTATTATACATTAATTTACACCTAGGTTTTTTGTCCCCTTTCGAAGCAAGATAGTTTACTATTGTAGGCAAATATGACATGGAACGACCGAAACACTACTTTCTGTCACTTTAGGCAGTGGCGTATGAAAAGAGAGGAGGATGGGGTGCAGGCAGTTCGGGTGTCATCACAAGGGAAAGGGGCGGGGAAGGGGGTGAAAACTTGTCAAAATATATTTTTACAATTTAATTAATTGTTTTGGTGGTGGAGGTGGGAGGCAATTAAATAATATTGATTAAAGCGTGTTTAACAGCTTCGTGTGACAATTATTTAACTTCAACATGTAAACATAATAAGTACCGAAACTTTCTCTTTAGTTTGCTCACAGAGAAACGCGGATGAACTCAGCGCTTTGTAGTAGAGACCGAAAAGACAAGAGATTGGCAGGAGTGTTTCTTTCTGTCGAAGACTTGTCTCTGCAGTTTGTACTTGAGAGAGAGAGAGAGAGAGAGAGAGAGAGAGAGAGAGAGAGAGAGAGAGAGAGAGAGACAGGCGTAACCCACCAGTGATTCATCGCCACTTAACCCGCCTTTAATCCAATCCGTTGTCGTCCTGGTCAGCTACCCCATTACATTACTGTTTTAAAGAGACGCCTGGCTACTGAAAGGAACCACATACATACTAAAATGTTTGATATTCTGCATCTTTGTAACGCAATAAATGAAATTATTCACATTTCAGACAGAATGTTTCGCCAGTCAATTGACACGTTTTTGTTTTGTATCTGGGTCTCGATAGTTTTTAGGCGTACGACCTTTTCCCTTAATATCTACTCTTATTGTTCAGTGTACGCTATCTTTTCTTCCACAGAGCATTCAAGACAATGTTTTCCTATCAGAAAACCAATTCATATTAGAAAAGCTTGTAGCAAGAGTGGTTTGTCCATACCTAGGACAGAGAGGCATATATGAAGGCAGCCCAAACCCAGTTATCAGAGTCAAACTTAAACCTATTCCCATTCCTCTTTTGGTTTTACCAGGTCAGTAGAATTATATTTAATCACATGTCACGATTCCAAAGACATCCATATTCATGTAGTATTCTTTTTAGTATAACATTTAAGTTGCATCCTTAATGAAGAATGCGGTATTTTGCCTATACGAATTCATATTGATACTTTCAGAGCTTGTCGTGCCGAGAAAACTGTGATAGCTCGGAAATTGATGTTAGTTCTTAAAAAAATCTTCCGTTGTCCTATGACCTTTCTTTACAAATACACCCATGGAGAACCTCTAATTATATGTTTGTTACTGCCATTTGTTACTGTGCCCAGGATAAATAATTCATCGGACAGAAAGTTCACGAGTTGAATTGAGTTATGTTGAGTCAAGAATTGACATCACAGCACTCGGGGCATTGCCATCCTCATGCTCAGCAGCCCGCGCGGAGTTCCAACACTAATGATACCCGTCACAATCTAGTTATATGTCCGTCTTGCCTTTCCTCTGAGTGTAGTTAACCGGCCAGACCCACTGGTTACATCCAGGTGCCTCATTCTCTCCAGGCTATAACAATTTTGTTTTTTCTACTAATTACGTTGCTTGTTTTTAAAGGGCCTTGACCACATCTGCCTTGAGTATATCAATTCACTACGAAGTGGTGCAGATCCAGCCAATCTGTAAGTTCACAATTCATCATATACAGATCCTTAAACGACGTTTTAAATTATTCCAAATAATAATGCTGCTGACCCCGGTAAAGTCTCGGACAGACACATCTTATATTGTATTTCATAAAGAAACTGGATCCTAATAAGTAGAGCTTCATATAGGCTCCAAAGTAAAGCCTGTTCATAAGTCACCTAACAAGTAGATTCTTTGATGTAGAGTTATTGAACTTAAAAAATTTAGGAGAAGCTCGCTTACTTTCCAGTATAATGCGGTGAAAGGGTGAAGACAGATACCAACCGTCCACGATACCAAAGTAGCTGTTCTGCTGACTGGGTTCCTGTAGTATCAGTTTTGAAACCCTGACAGCACCGATGCCTAGAATGAGAAAGTCCCAGGTGGATGCTAAGGATGTCATCCTTTCACGAACAAATATAATAATTTTGTTAACGTTTCTAATTACTTTCTTAACCTTAGTAACATCCTTGCCTGATGTAATATTATGGCTCCACTGTAGGAAAAGGAGTAAATACCAGAGGTTAAATGTAGAATGTATACATTCATACCAGCATCAATGCATGCCAATCCATAACTGGGTGGCATGATAGAAAACAGTGATTCGAACGCTGGTCAGACAAGGCCACACTGAGATACGCTAGAGAGACGGAGACAAAAACGTGGAAGACCGAATGTGAGAGATCAGAGATGACGCAACGGGGAAAGACGCGGGTGTCTAGTAGATAAAACGATGGATGATAGCAACGAGAGAGGCCTAGGACTGACTATAGCATCTAGGGATGCCAACAGACCACACTGAGACGATAAAAAAGGAACAGGTGCAGGGAGAGATGAGAAGCGGGGGGCAGTAATCAAGCGGGCTTTGGTAAATAAAATGAATAACGAAAAGGGGGGACAAAAGGAGAGAGATATGGAGAGAGAGAGAGAGAAAGAGAGAGAGAGAGAGAGAGAGAGAGAGAGAGGAGAGAGAGAGGAGAGAGAGAGAGAGATGGGCAGTTAACCGAGGACCATTAAGCTGGGCTGTTGACAAGAACTTGCGCTGGTGGATAGAGAATTGACTGGCCGGAAGTAAACTTGGTTAAGCTTCGCTAGAAGAGATATTTATATAGACGTTTAGAAAGACTTGAGAAACAGTCGAAAAGAGTTAATAACTTGCTCGTAATGAAGTAACGTCCTAGCAGCTTGTAATGATGTTATGAATCATCATTTTGTAAAAGAACTTATCGTCGTATATAAATAGCCAGCAATGATATACTGAAATTAGTAACCACGGAAATGAGATGTCTGAGAAGGGCTGTAGGAGTGACCACAAGAGATAAGATCAGGAATGAGATCATAAGAGAACAAGTCAGCACAGAACCAATTCTGGATTACATACAAAGACAGCAAGTGAAATGGTTTGCCCACTTAGAGAGAATGCCTTGTGACACCATACCATACAAAGCATACATGGAAAGAGAAGAAGGACGGGGTAGACCAAGAACAAGATGGAAGGATAACATCAGAGAAACTCTACAGCAGCCTATGGTCGAGGCAGCCAGAAGAGCTAGAAACAGAACCTTATATCTCCCTCGACACCCACAGCGGTAAAAGAGGAAGTGAAGAAGAAGAAGAATGATATACTGAAGTGTACATACTTTTGTTTAACAAAAAAAAAAAATATTCGTTCTGCTTGAATTGACATTATATTGCTTAATAAACAAATTTGTTTTTAATTGATTTGTTGAATCACTGGCCATGTTGATAAAAACAAGATAGTCACAAGAACGCTATCTGATCACTTGTCCACCTAGGCACTATGGAGATACAACTGTACCACAAGTTATGGCTCCACCAGGTCGACAAAACCATTTGCATGACAATCAATAAACAAGCCGAACAAAATCTCATGGTCTCGGAGATGTGGTTTTACAGAAGAATCCTTAGAATTTCATGGACAGCTAAGAAGAGCAATCTAGATTTTTTTTGAAAGAGGCACGTGCTCGAAGACAACTTATCACAAACATTAGAAAGACAATCATCATTGTTTGGTCATGTTATGAGAATAGGAAAACTTGACATCTTGTGACCACTGAAAAGATCTGTGGAAAAAGAGACAGAGGAAGACAGCATGGGACAATTATTCACAGTCTTTTGTCATGGCACGGAGGGGTGTCAACACACGAACAGATAACACGCAGTTGCGGATTGCGGAATGTGGAGAGGCATGATCGCCGACGCCAGTCGGCAAGACACTTAATGATGAAGATGCAGAATCACGACTACACCAGTTGTAAATAAGCTTCTACTTTTAACAGAAAGTTTGATGGAGATTAGTCTCCGTTACTAAGAGAAAAGGCACGAGACAACGTTAAGAGCCTTGACTTTCTGTTTACACAATTTTGTTGCCAGTCCCCGAGTGGATAGATGATTTTGTAATAAGCAGGAGTTTTCATCTCAACACTTCGCCTCCACAGAACAAACTGGACTCCGAGCTATGTTAATCTCCGACAAAGTCCTGGATATCCAAGAAAACAGCCATTGTTGGCTCGTAATGTAAATTCACAACACTTGCACTTAGTACCCCGAGAAGAAGGAAAGCAGTTTTAACGCCTAGATTACTTTAATTAATGACTTGTTAGAAGGAAAGGTGACTACTGCCAACGACCTCCTCCTGGTAAAGAATTATTCAAGAGCTTCAACCAAATGTAATTCTTTGTATCAGTTTAGTTAATCCGTAAAGAACAAATACACTTGGAATTTAACAAACGATGAAGTATAAAACTTTATACATTGATTTATTATACTAACAATTATTTATATGACATTTGTCATGTTAAAATAATTGAAAAACCAGTAACTGGCTGATGGAATTGTGTTAATGAGATGCTTCGGTTAGAGAACTGAGCAACTGAGATTACAGTGATGTTTTTATGATGATGGACTTCAGGCCAAAACAGAGGAAAGGCTTGGCAGAATGTTAAACTTCGAAGTGATTTTTGCTTCCGACAGCGCTTTGTTAATGCAGCTTCAATAGTTTCCCTGACTGAGCTACTGAGTTTAGTGCTTGGTGGCAGCCCTGTGAGCTGTGTTTTCCCTGTGGAATGCCTTTTAATTTGTGCTGTGATTTACGTGTGAGCTGGTAGAATACCTTAAGGAATAATTATACGTGTGTAAATGAACCAGCTTATGTGCCCGACTACTTCATTATCGACAAACTGCATTTTTGGTATCGATTGCTGGCTTTGGCGCCTCTAGCAACTGAAATACGCATTTAAATTGGTGCTCCTCTCTTCATCAAGGAGCTGTGGCCCATGAAGCTGCTAGAACTGCAGCAGCAGTTCAGGAAAGACAAGCCAGGAAGGACACTGAAGTAAATCGTCGGATAGATGCTCAAGAACTCTCAGTGCTAGAATTGGCCTTATCGGCCATCTGCGCACTCACAAAACCTCATTCAGTCACAGCTGGATGAAAGGACTGGTCATCATCACCTGTGATGGACGAACAACAACAGCAGATATGGTCTCCTTGAATTTCGAATATGCAAGTTTCGATTTCTAAAATTATAGCGGACAAATTCAACAGCTGTCTTGACAATACCAATGTTTTTTTAAATCTGTGGATTGCATTTTAGAATTAATTTATCTACACTACATGTTTACCGTGTTTAGGGTTTTCATTTCTAGTATTTTTATAGAATTGTATCATATCTTTCTCACAAAGAAAGCGCTTAAAAACATTAAGTGTCACTGTGCTTTCCTGAATTATAACTGCCAATATCTTTCACTCTAATGAATTTGTTTTACTTTTAGTGTCTTTGAATTCTTCAGAGGCACATTTGTAAATAATGCTATGATGGGAAAATATTTTTTGGTTAGAAATGACACAGGAGAGATTTTAAAATAAATAAATAAATAAATAGAGGAAACTAAAGAGACTATGCTCAATGAGAATTTTTGTAGTTCTACTGAAAATAGTTATATAGTTACTAATTTAGTTAGTTCAGATTTATTATGGAAAATAGAATCTGAATTTGTAGTTAACTTTATTTTTAAATGTTAAATTGTTTATATTTAATTATAATTGTATCTGATTTACAGACAGTCAACAACCTGAACACAGACTTGATTATCAAAAATCTTCCTTGTCGGTGTCACCATGGAGAGGAATCCACGATAACAACAACAGCGTTACAAAACTCAAACCTGTTCTTGAGCATGTTTATGATGGAGGGAGACGACACAGCATTATTTCATGATCATAATTCGTCTTTATCATACTTCTCTGGTGGCATGCTTTATTGTTAAAAAAAAAAAAACATATAGACAGGAATCAAACAAAAGCAAGGCAACTGTCAACATATACAAACACACTTGTTAGCATGAAACACAACAACGAGATGATTCCTAGGGTAAATAATAATTGTGTATGTAGACTAGCCTATGAGGTTATAAATGTAGTGTTAATGTTTGAAAAGTATTACTAACATAAAATAATAGTCAAATGAAATTGTGGACGTAAGACAAGGGCTATTCCAAAATTAACCTCCGATTGGCTGGTTTAAAAAAAAAAAAAAACATTTTGCCATAGTAACACCTTTATTAGCTTAAAAAATTCAGTTGTCTTTATGCTGACTACACACAACCTACTGTCACATTTTTTTAGTGGTTCACGAATCACAATGTTTATTCATTTCCGATTCGTGAACCACTCTTACTGCCTTTCCCGCAAGTGGATGCATACTCATTCTCCAAACAAGGTCACAAGATACAAGCAAACATTTTCACAACAAAAATATTGTGGTTACAGTGTTCTGTGACTGCAAGGGCATTTTTATTGACGGATTCATGACTCTAGAGACCACAATACGTCAGAAGTTTATTGTGAAATACTGAACAAGTTTCATAGATAATTAAAAAAAAAAAAATTGCTGCTCACACAAAGGTTTTCTGAGCAGTTTAAGTTTGAATTTTCAACGACCCTCCCTCACCCCCCCCCCCCCCCCTTTTTGTTCAGCCGAGACTTGTATCATGGAAAAGTATCATCTCTTCGGCAAGTTTAAGATCTGGTTAGTTACCCAGCACGTCGGTCGGCAACGCCCAGGAGCTAATGGATGTAGTCAACAACTAGCAAAGTACCCTAGCGATGCCATTCGTCGACGAGGAGTTACACAAACTCGTGCCACCGTATGACGGAAGCCAGAATTTAGGTGGTGACTATGTGGAAAAATAATCAGTGATGCATGTAACGTTCGTATATATTTAGATCTCATAGTTAATGATATTTAGATGTTATAGTTCATTTGATTGCATTTATACCAGCAAATTGGAGGTTGATTTTGGAATAGCCCTCGTATCTTTTATAGTTTCCTTTCTTTAAACATTGCGCAAATAGTCTAGCCATATGATTGTTAGAAAGGTATCGATTATTATCTTATTGTGTTTGGGGATCATTTATTCCTCTATACTGAGTTATTTGTGGTCTGGAAATTTATATTTTCTAAAATATACATAGTTAAATGAATTAGCAAATACCCCCCCCCCCTTTTTTTTTCACCCAATACCACCCCCCCCCCCCCCCATTAGCAAATGTGTAGATTAAAAGTTTATTATCGAACACCTATCTAAATTCTGCATTCTTCTTTACATGTTGTCGAAATAGATTTTTGTTTTCTAATATGGTGGCATGTTGTTGTGTTTGTGCTCATGAGCCATGATTTCGCTTTTCATCCGGCGTATTTCACTTGGACCATACTGAAATATCGACTCAAAGGCAGCGCAGAAATGTGTTACACTGCAAGATGTTTGTTCGAGGCCTGTGTGGTGAATATGCGTGGCGGTTTTAGTGTGTGTTTGATGTGTGTTCTGCCGAGCGACGTCATGGCGGCCTTAGCAACAACGTTGACGACCTCTGCGGCCGGCAGCATAGGAAAATGTTGGTCTAGGATTTTAGCTTAAGCGACAGAGCTGAGATCTTCTTCACTTGCTTCACAGATATATAATAGTGATGTAAACATTAAAAGGAGGAAGCGTAGAAAACACCTATCGCGCCGCAAAAATAATTAGAAAGTAAAACGTGCTAGGGCCAGAAAATCACTACTGAAATCTGAAAGGATAAGTCGAAAGAATGTTCGAATTCTTTACTGGAATATTGCCAGTGTCAAACAAAGACGACCTATCCTGGATAAATTAGTAATTAGTGCTGACGTGGTTGCTCTGAAAGAAACACTCCTAGGTGACAATACACTGAAACTCACATGATTTCATACGTTTCGGAACAAGCTACACCGAGGACAGTCTATTCTCGTCAGGGACTTGCTTTATTATCTACTTCCTATGGCTCGTTAGGTAGGCCAACTAACTACCCTAGGGCACACTTAAAATACACACCTACGGAGAGTACACACATAATCTATAATGTACAAAGAATAATTCAACTTATAGCAAGCCTCAACAAAAGTGGCCGTCCTTATCCCAAACGCCAGCGTTGGCAGCTTTTACATTCGCTAACCAACACGAGCCGTTCCCATGGATATACCAAGGACTCGATCCACCTTACTGTCGTACAGCGCTAACTAAGCTGCCGTCCTCACCATGCGGGACTTAGTGACACAAATAAGTTTAATCATTAAAGTGTGAGTGGGAAATGTTAACACAACCAACAATGCGTGTCAACATTAACTACCTGCTTGACAGATACTGCGTGGAACGTCTACTATACAAGAAACATTAACGCTGCACTATCTCGTCAAAACACTGTATGGAAACAGAACATATCTAAAGCCTAACCACAAATACTATTCTTACTAAGCGTCACTAATCTAAGATACATTTACCGTCGCAGTCCCACAACTGTCCAGTCCAGTGTCTTACTACACGTCTCCTCTCTGTCCGAATGTCTACACGTCAAAAGCCTCGTGTTACCTTCCCGCGTGAATTTTGATGGGTGAAACTCACTCAGTATGGGACCATGCAACAATCATGCCAGGGACCTGCCTGGAGAAGCGTTCACGCATACTTGACGTCCTCAAATTGTCTCCACTGAGCGGTCGTTTTAACTCTTAGCGTCAAGCACACCGTGTTTGACCTTTGTGTCAACTCTGGTCACAGAGTGACTTCGGCACACCGCCATTATGGTCTATTCCGTCCCATGACTGTACTCACAGGGTTTTGACAAGAAGCCCATGAAGTTGACATGTCTAAATAGCAAGATGCCAGCCTCCAGTTTCAAGCTGTTACAATTCGTTCGACACGGTCTTTCGTGCTGGTTAATGTCTACGCGTGTAATGATAAAGTAAGCAGAGAAAAATGGATGTTCGTTTAAGAAATAATGCAAACAGAAGAGAATATAGTTTTCTGTGGCAATTTCAACTCTAAAAGCGATCTATGGGGTAATAGTTTAACACACAAACAAGGGATGGATTTGGAGGATGCCATGGTGGAAATAGACCTGGTCTGTCTAAACAATGGATAAATTACCAGGATGGCATATCAAACAGAAGAAGAAGACAGTGTGCTTGACTTGGTTTTAGTTTCACCTGCACTTGGTCCACGCTGTAGCTGGTATATACTAGGTAATCATGGCAGCCACCACTGTCCCTGTGTTATTCTCTTAAACACATCATAAGATCAATTCAAATCCTTTTAAATACACATCCGAAAATAATGTCGTAAGCGAGCTTAGATTAAATCAAAAGCCAACACCGTAGGCCTAAGAAAACAGCTGTGGTGGAAGGATGAGGTTGAGTCAGCGTGGGTACTTAAAAGACATGCTGTAAAGATCTGGCAGAAAGCAATGAAATCCACTGACTCTTCTCCAGACCTACTGAGAGAATCCAAACACACCATTCAGACCACAACAGCAGCCTTTAAAGCAATTGCCCAGCAAGCCAAGGACACAACCTGGGAAATATTTTTCCATGAAGTGTTCAAGGAAAGATCTCTTGCAAAATTCTGGTCCATACACAAGGCTATGCCAGGTGCTCCCAGACGCCGAGTCATCAGAGACTTCCGTAATCAAGACTAGACATGGAACAGGTCAGAGAAAGGAAGAGCACTCCTTGACAGATACCTCAAGCAAATCTGCACGCAAGACAATGCCTCCCGTCAGACTTCCATGGATATGGTCGTTGCAACATGTGCCGGTACAGGCATTAAAGATGATCAGCTTTTTACGGTCGCTGAAATTAAGAACATCATCAAAACATCAAAGAAGTCTGCTTCTGGCCCTAATGGCATTCATTATGAAGACATTGCCAAGCTGCCCACAAAATCCATGGAGGTCCTATGTAAAGCTTACAATAACAGCATATGTAATGGTACCATCTCAGAAAGCTGGCTGCATAGCTATTTGATTTCGTTAGAAAAGCACACGCACGTAAATGGCTATAGAATCATTACGATGCAAAACACATTAGGCAAAACATTAGAAATGATCATAGTGAGAAGACTGGCAAGCCATCTCAAAATACATCAGCTGCTACCCTCCACACTTGGAGGATACAGACAAAACACTGAAACATGGCGTAATGCTGCTGTCTTTGCACATGACACATTTGGAGGTTTTCAAGTTAGATTTGAAACATGTGCAGTCGTCATAGATCTGCAGGATGCAAACAACAAAGTTCCCTGCCACCAACTAATGTGTCAGTTAATTGAACTCAACATCCCCCCCCCCCACATCTCATTCGATGGATATCTGCCACACTTTTCAGAGGATGGTTGTGCTTCGGTGTGGTAGTTGATCTTCTGAACCGATAACAATACACCCTGGTTTGCCACAGGGTTCTCCATGGTCTCATATCCTCTTTAACATTTACACAGTCAAGATCACAAGAAAACAACTGAGTGGCAGAGGAAGAACTCTGTCATATGCAGATAACATCCTCGTGTACCGACAGGGCAGGAACAGGGATGACGTTGTTTCGGATCTACAACAGGAATTAGATCGCATATCACCCTGGTGCAACACCTCAGGGGAAACAATGAATCCATCAAAAGCGACAGTCATCTGGTTCTAATTAAATAATTGACTTTCCAAAACACCAATGCCGATAATAAAACTCTGTGGCGTTGACGTGGAGAGATCTGATTCCATGAAATACCTGGGTATAACATTTGACAGATGCTTAGCATTTAAAAAAAAAAATCACGTAGACCACATTATAACCAAAGCCAAGAAAGGTTTCTGCAATAAAAGTTATGGGAGCAGCAAACTTTGAGCAACGTTTACATGTAATGTTGTATCGTGCGTTAGTTC